AACTTTCGATAACTAAATTTTTTATGGCTGAATTTACTTCGATTCCTATTGAAAAAATTCAATACATTTTCTTACCATTTCGTGACCCTAATTCTTATGTATTTCTCATTATCTCCATTTTCGTCTTTATCTTCAATTTTGTCTTCTCTTTTTTGTCTTCATCGTTATCATTTATTTCTTCATCACCATATTTATCTTTATTACAAAATTTAATTTCAAATATGAAGTGAAAAAAATGCAAAAACAATTCAAACTGAACAGGTTTCAACCACAACTATACGCAAATACGATAAACTTGGCCGCAATTTTCAATCAATATTTAAACCATAAAAATTCTCAGAAATTCTCGTCTACAGAAAAATACCTTTTCAATTGTGTTCTTGGTTTTGAATCGCTAAACGAACGGAGCCAACGAAGTCATTGCTGATGAAGGTTGAGATTTCTGACTATTGGACTAAATGTTCCATCTTTGCCTACCCTGGCGTTAAAGTTGCCCATCCTGACGCAAAGTCGCCAAGCGTGATTTTAACATTGTAGAGTGGGTAGCGCTCATAAAAATTCTCCTTAATCTCACCTCTCTTCTCTTCCGTCAGGACACAAACGGGGCTTATCCCGTTGAATTTAGCCCTTTAGCGGTTTGTGGCAGTGCATTCCCTGAGTAGACCCAGAGCACAACCCATTGCTGGGAGGTCTTTTTAAGATGCATATTTATATAGCGAGGCGCATGCTCCATGACAGGCAAACGCTTGCAGCCGCACTTATGTTGAACAGACGTTGCTGGCATTAGTGCACTATTAAGACGTACAAGAAGGAGTGGCCCCATCGAAGCAATTTCTCTTTTTTCCTTGACCCAAAACTCCATTTAGGTTGGCTACCGCATCTTGCACATGGGTTGATCACGTTGCCCATTGAGTGTACAGAGTTGTAAAGGTATAACCGCGTACCTAGAAGAATGATCTTTCTACATGGTACTCGTAACTAAATTTCACTATATAAACTATTATAACACTGCACTACACTTATTTAATTCACAGCCCTTTGAGCAAAATGTGAGAACAGATGAGGCACTGAATAATGAAGATATATTTATCAAAAGCTTAAAATGCAAACTCCTTTTAGCACCAGATACATGCATATATAAATCAGCCGATTCAATTATTTAGCATTTATTTTCTTTTAAATTTCCATTACTTAGAGACCCTGCTTTTAAATTACTTCATTTACTTGATTCCAACATATTTAGCTTTAGCTATCCGAAGCCAAATCCAATTTTCACAAATAACTCGTATTTTATAGCTCCTTTTTCAGCCAATTTTCCATACAATTACCAATTCCATTCACGCCTTCGCTATTCCAGTTTCCCACTTTCTTCAACCCTTTAAATCGCCATGGCAATTGAACGGACAGTTGGGAGCTGCTGGCAAACTAATTGACTGTTATAATAAAAATCCGCTAAACTAAATTAAAACAAAAAAAACGAGAATTTAACAGAACAGCTGGATATAAAATTCTAAAAAGGGTTAAACGTAGAGGAATTTATACTAAATGAAAGCAAAGAAAATAAAATATAAATATACAGTGGTGGGAAACTAAATAGGGACGCGACATTTTAACAAGGAATGACTATTTTCTTTTGCTCATTTAAAGTTTATTGTTTTTGTTTTTGAAAGTACAGCTCTGTGTCTAAATAATAAAATCATGTAAGTCTGAATTTAAAACCATGTACAAACAGTGGGATAAAACGAAAAAATATTAGGTAGTCTGTTTTGCAGGCCATTAAATTCTAGCATAATAAAGTGACATCTTGAAGAAGGTAGGACTTACTTTTGATTTTTAGGAATTTTTTCTTATACATTTCCTATCATCCAAGCAGGGCTTCGGAGCGGATCAAAGGAGCAAAGAGCAAAGGATTTTAACTGAAGCGGATGTATAAATGTAGTTATATTTTCTAAAATAAGATCATACGATTGATGTTATCAGTTTTTGGATATCAGTTTTGGGATAACAGGCGACGATATTTAATTTACTTGGCAATTTTTTTGTTTCTATTGGATGCAGAATTGTTCATAGAGCATCTAGATTCTAGATGCATTTCTGCATCAAAAAGAAAATTTTCAAAAAATTTCTCCTACGTTTTATTGGTGCTTAGTCCTCGATATATAAAGAAATAATAAAAAAAAAAGTTTTTGTTAGTGGGAGTGGAGCTAAGGGCGGAGTTCGGAGCAAAATAAAATGCCGGAGCGGAGCCACAGCGGAGCGATGAAAACATAAACCTGTGCTCCGTAGCCGCGACACAAAGTATGTGTGCTCGAATTTTGCTTTTATATAGATGAAAATATAATGTAGCCAAAATTGCAAAACTAAATTTTTTTTTTAATTCAGAATAAAAAGTTTAAAATTTCATGAAAATTTATTAAAATAGCGAATCCCTATTTATTTGCCCGCCACCGTACATATATGCAGGGATTTTCGAATTTTCTATTCAACAATAAAGAATCGGAAGCCACCGACAAAACGTGCTGAGATATAAATAGTCAGATATTTACTGCAACTACATGGAGAGTTTCGACTGTGACAGTCAGTACCTTAGACACCACATACTAGAAATTTTCTCACACCAATACAAAAGGCCACCAAATAAAATGTCCACTGCGTCCTTTTGATGTGAAAGTAAACTGACTGGTTAGCTGACAGCTGTAAAAGTCCAATTGTGCAGACTTTGATATGTATATGTATGCATATGTACTCGTATACGTATTTACATACTCATATTAAAGTCTGAATGGTGTGCTCCATGTGGCCACTGAGGTTTTGCTCGAAGGATTAGTGTGACTTTATCACGCGTTGCAATTGCGCTTATTTAATGCGCTTTGATACTAAATTTAGCGAAGGATTTTGTGAATGAGATTAGTTAGAGAAATATGTAGAGTAACGAGTGAGGAGAAATTGAAAATGTGAGATAGTGAAATAGAATTTATACATATGTACAAATAATTTAAATGAAACTAAAGGAAATGGTATTAAAGAAAGGGATTTTGGGTTTTGTTTCCTAAATGTTTCCAGAAAATATTGACTTTATTCAAACTCTGAGAAATTCCTTAAGCTTAACAAAATTTAATATATTAATTCTGGGTGTCTAAATTAGCATCAACTAACTTAATTTGCCAAAGAGAGAATTCGGGTAGAACAAATACGTAGGTATATGTACCAGGAAGCTCCAACACCCAAAGGACCCCTGCATAGTGCTTTCCGCAGTCCTGAGGGATCTGGGAGTGCGATATACTTGAGGATTAAGTGATAATGGTACGAGTAAAAAGGAATTTTGTTGCTCAACGATTCCCTTTTCAGGCGTTTTCCTCGAGACGTTGAGATGTGGCGTATTTTTTCCGTACGGTAGCACGATAGAAACCAGCGTTCATTTCCTGCAATGAGAGCGCATGAGAATAAATCGCTTTCTTTTAATATTAGTCTTATTTTGAATATTTGGGGTTTAAAGAGATGAGCATGAGTGGTGCTCTAAAGCTCACGCATTCACTGATATTATTTTTTGTTCCGTGAAGCAGGGTAGCTTAAAAATTATCGAGATGGAATCAGTTTGGCTTGACATCCGGTTGGGAACAACTGTTGTTGGAACGGTCGCTTTGTCGTGCGGCAATGGGCAATGACCTTTTTGGTATGTCCAAGGGTGTTGTGTTTTTGTTGCGATAATTACTGGTAAATAAAGCCTTGCGCTCTGCCAAGTGATGGGATTCGTAATAGGGCCTCGAGCTTTACTTACATTATTATTTATAAATTTTTTGGGGGGATAGAATTTTTCATAGGGGTTCCTGGGAAGCTCTTACATGTTTACTACTTCGAGAATCACAAACCTAGCTGCGAGAAATTTTTTCTTTTGACATCACGAGAGTACTCGTGATGATAACAGCGATTACTCCCGCAGCGTTAGAATTTTTTGGGGGCTTTTTTGTGCAAATATATACGAAAACTGGCATACGGCTTCGAAATTTCCACTTACCCGATGGGGATGGGATTTTAAGTTTGGGAGTTTAATAAGAAAGTAGTAGTTGAGATAACAATTACCGTGGCATTCCGTCTAGGACAGTTGAAAGTTTGCTGTAAATAATACAGGTGAAAGAAAGTATGCAAGTTATTTTGAAAGACTTTGTTTATTCTGACACGTAAGACTTACAAAAAAGCTCCCTTGCCAAATTTCATGGTGAAAATCTCATTTGACAAAAAGCAGAAAAATTATATCGCGCCGCTCCAAAAGTCGCAATGACCCAGTGGAAAAAGCTCGCCGTGCCATTCGAAGCTAGATCGAGTCCTCGGGCAGCGGATTTTTTTCTATTATTTTAAATAATTTTATTCTCTTACAATTTTTGGGTTTTGTTGTTTTAAAAAGGAAATACATATATGTATTTCTTTAGTTTCATTTAATTTTCAGAAACTAATTTTATATCATATCTACATATACATATATTTTTTTAGTTTAGTTTTTAGATTTTGTTGTTTTAAATAGAAAAATATATATATTTCGCATAGATTTTAGAAACTCTTCTCTTCTTAATTAATTTAAATTTAATTTTCTTGTGATTTTTGGATTTTGTTGTTATAAGAAATATCATATTTTTTAATTAAATTAAATTTGTTTTTAATTTTCGGAGTGCATGATTTTAAAAATTCGAAATATATTTTTTAATTCGCTTTAATTTTAAGACACTTGTATTTTTTTATTGTTCTGCATTAAGTTTTTTCTTTGTTTAATAAATTTTCTTTAGTTTTTAGTTTTAACACCTTTAGAAATAAAAATATATATTTTTTTTTACTTCAACTTGAGTAAAATGTTTCAGTGTTCGATTACGTATATAAAAATAAAACGTATATATGACCAATGTGCCTTCGCTGAAATTAATTTCATTGATATATATCTGTTATCTCACTTATTGCAATGTATTAATTAAATAGTACGTTGAAAACATTTATTTCTCTTTGTCTTTCAGTTCGATTGCAAAAACTGCAAATATGATGCTCTTGTTGGCGAAGCAAATCCAAGCAACAGTTACGATTACAATGGCAGTGGAAATATTGCTGGCTGTGGCACTGATTCTGGAGACGGTAAGCGGCATGCGTTAATTAAATTTTTAAAATAATACTTTAAATCCCATAAAAATTCCGCTGAGAAAACTTGCGCTGACCTTTTGTGTAAAAGAAAGTGTATCTTATTGGTATAATTCGCGCAAAACTTCTTAATACGTAAATTTAGTAATAACTAAAGCCATCTTCCCAACCACTAAATATATAAATAGTAATTTGAACAAAGGGTTTTCATGAACTTTTAGTCAAGGAAAGCAAAAAATATCAAAAGAAAGATAGAGTTGTAAAATATAAGGAGCACTAAAACACCCCAATACATACATTTCTGTATTATGCAACAAAAGAAAATTTAATAATATAAAAAAAAATATTTAAAACAAGTTTTAATTTAACATGTGTACTAAAATTATTAATATAAAATAAGTTACTTAAAGCTAAGTGGTAAGTGTATTAATTTTCGTTGGAGATAAAGTCCAGTGAACTTGAAAAGTGACAATGTTTTTCGTTATTTTTTTTGGCTTAGTCTTCCCTTATTTAATTTCAATTAATAAAAATATAGTTCATTCTCTAGCAAAAACCTTTTAAAAGCGAATTCCAAGTTTTGTAGATAATTTAAAAAATGAAAACTTTCAAAAAAATTTCACAAATTTACAATTTTCACATTTTAAACATTTTTCTTTGAATTTTTTTGAGTGTACAGTTTTGTAACCAACTTTAGTATCTGAAAGTAACTGAAGACAGTTGTCCAAAATTAAGCAAAACAAGTTATTTTCCAAAAAATTCGAAAAACTGTATAATAATAAAATAAAAAATAACTAATTGTTCTGAAGCTACTAATACTCACAGTTCTATATAGTATGTACATATATAGTTTTGTTCGTACTATTGCACAACTTTCTTTTGCTTTTCAGGAACCGTGGAACTATTAAAAAGTTACCCAGAACAGATTTCATTTTTATCAAACATTATATTTTTTCGACATTTTCGAAAACCTGTTTTCGGCGTAATTTTGCAGAACCTTTTATTCCTTCTCAAGAACCCTAGAACTATTAAAAATCGACTCAATGAAGTTTTTATTTATAAAAAAAAGATGTCGACCTTTTTTGCACAACTTTGCTTTAATTTTTTTAAAGCATTAAATTTTTTCGACTTTTTCGACGTAATTTTATAGAACTTTTATTCCTTTTCAGGAACACTAAGACCATTGAAAAGCTGCTCTGAGCAGTTTTTATTTAATTTTTTTTTACCATACATTTTTTTCAACTTTATGGAAATTTTTTTTTGCCATATTTAGCAGAAATTTTTTTCTTGTACACGAACCCTAGACCTGTAAGAAAGCAACTAAGAACAGTTTTCATATTTTTTACGTAACTTTTTTCGACTTAATTTTTTTTGCGAAATTTCGCAAAAGTTCCTTCCTCCTTAAGAACAATTTAAAAGCTACTCAGAATAGTTTCTATTTATTTTTTTTTTAAATAAAATTTTTTTCGTGGTAATTTTTATTTTCTTAGCTACTGGAAATAGTTTTTTATTTGCATTTTCCGTTTGCTGCATGAATTTGGCATACCAAATTTCTGAATATTTTTTTTTCGACAAAATAGCCAGAACTTTTCTTTTCTTTTTCCTAACTCACATATTAGGGGTATTTCGAAGCCTTGAAAAGCATTTTCACGATGTACGGATTACACAGTGCTGTCCCATAAAAAACAGATTCTTACCATGCAATGCGAGCATGCTGTGCACCGAGCAAGGGCTTTTCAAGACTTCAGGAATATCCTTAATGTGTTTGATTTGTTTCTGCATTTTAGCAAAATTTAGTGCAGCTTTCTTTTAGAATAGGATTATGTTAGGGCAAAAGAAGATTTTTGTATCACTGAAGAAATTAGCTAACACTTTCGGATCATTATTTAAAGAATTATAAATTTCTTAGTCCTACGAAATTTATTTTGTTGGTTCCCACTTAAAGCAAATTTAGCGTCTTGACTTTCATCAACCTATCTACTTTTCTATTCAAAACCCTGACTCTTTACATTCGTTACGTTTGCTTTCCTATATTCTTTTAGACTCCTGCCGTCTGCTGCAAAATTCACCAGCGAAATTAAATCAAAATCAAATGTTGACTGGAACGAAAATCAATGCACAATACTATCAGCAACAGCAGCAGCATCATCAACCGCAGCTACAACAGCAGCAGGAACAACAAAAGAGACCAGATGTTATGTTAATGGCAAAACCAGCTATGACAGTGCAAAAACAAATGCAGCAACAATACCAACAGCTTTACAGCCGTTCAGCCACACCATCACCGCAACATTTTCAACAGCAACCACTACAACAATTGCAACAACAAACATCAACACCGCCCCATGGCCTGCAAACATTCCACATCGTTTCGGCAAGCTCATCGCCAACACACCACCACCAGCAGAGTCAACAGCATCAACAACAACAACAACAGCAACTGCCACAGTCGACACTCCGCCAATATGCAACACTGCAGCCGCATCAACATAAGCAGCAACAACAACAATATGTGGCTGTACCCAGCGGTGCTTTGGTGCGCTTTCAGACAACAACAGCAACACTCGCTGCAACGGTAGCCGCATCAGCGCTCAGTGGCAACAGCAATAATTGCACCACCGATGGCAATGGTAATGTTGGTATAGGTCTTGGTGCAACACTCATCGCTACTGGCATGTCCGGCAATTGTTTTCAAACGGCGAATGTGCCGCTGCCTGGAAGCACAGCCACGGCCACAATTTACTTTCCCATTGCCACTGCCGCACATACACAGCAGCAACCCACCTATGCGTCGATTACGGGTGTTTCCGTTGCGCCGCCGGCGCCGCTGCCCCCAACAGCAGCAAACAGCGATGTGATGCTACCGACAAAAACAATGGCCGGTACCAGCTCCGCAGCCGCAGCCGCAACGCAATTGCTTTGCAATCAGCCGATTGTGAAATATCACACCATACAACGGTCGCAGGTGAGAAAACAGCAACAACAACAGCTGCTACTAAAGGAGCCAGTAACATTGCTAGGTAGCGCAGCTGATGTGATGCCGTTGCCGCCACCGCCAGCATATCAGACGGCTACCGTGCATGGTGAGTAAGAGATTGTTGGATTTTGAAAAGTATTAGTACGAGAGCTCTACAAATAGCTTTTCAAGCTTTCAGCGCTTCATCTAGCTACAAGTGAGTGCGGAGTTCTACTCTGACATTTAAAGTACAGAAATATGGCTAAAGTGAAAGCTAATTGTTAAAGGTGCCTGCTTGAAATCATTTCGTATAAAATGTGAGGCGCTGAATAGCTTTCGAACCACTGATTTGGCTTGAAAAACTTGCTGGATAACAATAATTTCTTAAAATATTTTCTATTCGGTTGAATTTGAATAAGCTGAATAATAAAATAATGCGCTGAATAAAAACGAAATTTAATGACTTATAACTGAGCTGAATAACAACGAAGTCTGCTTATCTGCTATCAACTAAATTGCATTCAATTAAAAACTTAAAAGCTTTCTTTTTGCTGTATTTTCGTTAGCTGAATACCGAAATAATGTAGTGATTAAGTTTGACGATTCTTTTTAGTAAATTAGTTAGTTCAAATTACTATTTTAGGCTCGCCTGCTTTACTCAAAATCGCTGAAAAAACTATGGACAGTTTATAGATAGCGCTGAATATCTACAGCATACTGAAAATGCTAATTCATTTTCTTCCAACATACAACAAATCAATAATTTTTCAAATATAAGCCACTGTCAATTGATAAAAGATTAAGTCAATGAAGTTGTACGCGCTGAATTGCTATAAGTGCCACTTAATATAATTTTGAGAATGTACGTGGCTAAATTGCGCCGTAGCTAAATTGCGCTGAATTCGTGAGAATCCGCCTCGCTATAAAATGTGTGTGCGAATTAATTGTAATAACAATTTTTTTTTTTTAATGGCGCCATTCAATTGCGCTGAATTAGGAAACAGTTAGCTGAATAGAGTTTAAACATTAAAACACTTATAGACGTAAACTAATGCAATTACAATATTTGACTAAAAATCAACTGAATACTAAAAAATTTTAAGTATATTTGGGTAAATTTCCATATTTTGCTGTAAGACTTAAATTTTCCTACAGTAACTTAACAAAGAAAATGACCATCAAATTTGCATGCGTATTTATTTTTTAGCATGCCTTTAGATAAATTTATTATAAACAAATATTTAAAGAGCGGTGCAATTTATGTGCGCTGAATAAGGCAAAAATTAGGTGAATAGAGTTCACATACTTAGTTAAAAAAATTATAAACGCTAACTTTTGACATGAATATTTTTTACTAAAAATTTGCTGAATTTTCACAAATGTTTAATAAATTTGGAGAAATATCCATCTTTTGCTGAAAAACTCAAATGCTGAATTGACGAAATAATTGGTTGCTATAAAATTTTCTTGCGTATTATTTAATTTTTCAACATGAACTTGTCACAGAAATTAATTTGCTTATGATGAATTAAACACAAACCGAATGAATTAAATTGTTGTTAAAAAATATGTTAAAAATTGCGCATTTTAAGTGCGCTGAATTAGAAAAAAAAAGCAAAGTACGTTGAGTCTATACAGTAAAAACACCTTAGAAATTTAAACATCAGCAAACAAATTGTAAATAAAAACAGCTGATATAAAAACTTATAAGTTTTTTTTTTGTAATATTTCATCTTTTGCTGTTAGACTTTAATTTTTCGTGCGCTGAATTGGCAAAGAGCAAACGAATTTAGTGTTCGGATACCAAGGCTTAAAGAATATTAGTAAAGTAAGAGCGCTGAATTACTAAACATTTAGCTGAATAAATATTTTTTTATCAAAAAATAAAATTTTTACTTAGCAGAAAAAATGATTTTCTTAACATACAAATTTTACTTTCCGCTGCTTTATTTTCGCACTTAATTGCAAACCAATGTAGCGGAATGAAATTGTTGTAAAGAAAATTCTTCCAAATTACACAAATAAAGCGCAATAAAGCAAAACTCAACCGAAATTTTATAGAGCATGTATTCAACTTTTCTGAAAATATTTATCTTAAAATATTTAACTACACTATAATCAAGTCTTCTTTGTACAAACAGCTCAAATTTTTGTCCGAAAGTTTTCATTCTCTTCTACATTAAAGGCACATATTCTTCAAACTTTCACTTGCAACATCATTGCTTTCAGCCAAACCAATTTTAAATTCTTTAACATTTCGCTTTGCTATCTACACTACTTAGCACAGCCATTAAATCTGTAAATCCACTTGCGTTGCTGTAAGAAACTTTCACTCATTTTAAATCAACTACAAACTTTGACGTGCCAAAACTCAGTCAACCAAGGCAAACCAACTAACCGACAAACCAAATACAGCAACAGGAAAAAAAGAAAGGCACTTGAAATAGCAACAGCGAATATTCAAGAGCAAACAGCAAACAGCAAATGGCAAAATTAGTTTGCAGTAAGCAGTACACACCAAGCGCCCCGTTCCCGTCCTCTATAAACTTCCCTTACAGTAACGCTACTGTTGAGCTTCAGTTGTAACTCAGTTACTTACCCCTTTGGTTATGTGTTGCACGCTCCACATAGCTGCACTTTAATTGCATTTTGCTTTCAACTTAAAGTTATAAGCCCAACACAGCAACCAATAACAACAAAATAAACTTATGCATTTCTGCAACATCAGCTCACCATTGGCTGATGGTGCATACAGCAAACTTTTCGTAGTTGACTTTCATTAGTGGTTTGTTGAACAGAGTTCGGGTGAGAGCAACCAGTACGGAAGCCAAGCAAATACTTCACACTTCTTTGTGTTTAAAAAAAAAACAATGCCAACTTTGCATGCCACATTGATGTGGCAATTGAAATTTAAGCTCTGCCTTCCTACTCACATGTTGAAAAGCTGTGACAGTAAAGAAGTTAGAAAAGTAGAGTTCTTGTATCTATATTTACATATACCATACGTAACGATGAAGGTCTCACTTTGTTTGAGAGCTTGCGGTCACCGCCTGTTTTCTGGTCTAGAAGTTAGCCCGCAACACTGATGCAGCTATTTAGTTGACATGAACCACACATGCTCTCACGCAAATAGGACCTTTTTGTCAGTTGTATTTCAACGCATAGAGCAAGAGTCGAAGGAATTGTATACTCTAGACATTTTCAAGGTAATTTTGGGCCACACTAGTATCAGAACTGATCTTTTCTGATACCGCTGCCAACGGTAGTTGCTAAGCAATAGTAATAAACGATCTCTGGTATTTAGACCTGCAAAAGATGTGCAGTTTCGAGGAAAGTTTGAGATGCCTTCCACTTCTTCCTCTTCCAAGCAGCAAAGAAAATTTAAAACCTGATGTGACATTTAGCCTCAATGTATGAATCGGTCAATACATGCACCAGAACTCAGAGGTTCATCTTTGAAGACAACTTTTGATTGCTTCTGATCCATCCTGGGCTAAATTACACATTTCTTGGTCTCGTTCGGTTGACAAGAGGCTAATCTGACCAAGAGTAGTCCGCGTGGTCCAAGGTATCTTCACTCTCAGTTTTCTCGGTAAGTTCGACTCGAGGGCATCTGACTAGCACTGAGTAGGAAATATACAGATATTTCCCAAACAAGCTTTGAGCGCAGCGCAACTCGGTCCATGGCTCCGAGTGAAAAGAAAAAAAATATCTACATCGATACTTCAACGTAAAAATTTCTAAATATTTGCTAATAAAAAAAAAAAAACAATAATACGAAGCCGTCCAATATCTCAAAAACCACTCTACAAAAAGGCTATTAAATATAAAAGAAAGTTCGTAGTGATGCTACATACATTTGGAACCAAAGAATCGAAGCTAACAAACTTTGAGGCAATATTAAAAAAATATCGTCATCTCCTTAGGGAATTATAGTAGACAGTTTGACTCTGTGTCAAATGATGATAGTGATAGTTGACCCTCGTAACATTTAGCTACACGGTTTCCTTAGGAGCTGTGCACTTCCTATACTTATTGTTATCCACCATACCAAGTTTGAGGCTGTGAGTGCAAGGAGGAGGAATACAGGCGTCACCTTACCTCGAGACTAGCTCAGAAAACAAATTACGATTCTATAACACAACCAGCTGGATAGAGAGAAAGTCCCCCACTAAAAAGAAGTATTATCACCGAAGATTCGGTACTACGAGTTGGCCAGGTAGCGTCTTCAGATCGCGTGCGTCGATGAGGCAGCTGCAAGTTCGTGCAGGAGAGATGAGTCGAAATCTAGTCAAAGCCTTCTGAATAGAGGGGCGAATACCTATTTGAAAATTCTGATAACCGTATGCCGGCATCTGATTCAACGGAGCCTTTAAGCGTTTTTTTTGGATATCAAGGGCTTATATTCAATACCCTCTAGGATCACCACTTTCGGTTATTTTATTCAATATAGCCCTTGGAAAAGTTAGCTCCATTATATTTTTTCTAAGACTAAGGACTTGCCGCAATTGGTCCATATCTTCAGGAGCTAAGATTTCGGTTTTTTAACATATGCAGAAAACTCAAATGTATACATCCAACCCTCTCCGTATATGACACCCCTATCCACTATACGGACACATTGAAAATATTGGGAATAATTTTTTACAATAAACTTACTTTTAAGCAGCACTTTTATAATGTAATATTAACTTACTTGCTCGACTAAATATTATAAAGTTTTTATCATCCACGTATTCCTTAGTTCATATAACTACACTGGTAAATGTAATAAGGGCTTTTATATAAGGAAAAATTTACTTTGGGCTCGTAATTTACGGACACTGTGCAAAAAACATCTTAAATTGCTAGAAACACCTTACCATTCAGCAGTCAGAAGAAACATAACCATGAGGTAAAGTACAACACAGATGCTCATCCCAAAGATAGTGCAGAAATTAGACTTTATTCTCTCACGTCGAATCCTGCTTTCAACAAAAAACCTGATGAAGCAAGCAATCAGCTTTATTTCGTATATTAAGCTACATCAAAGATTTGAGCTCCTATCTACTCCGATGCCTACTAAAGTAAAAACTCTACCGCAAGGGAATTTGCCCAGTTCTATACTCATAAATGATCTGAGAGCTT